GATGAAGGGATGAAAGCGGATGAGGGCACAGATTGGTTCTGCTTCAGCTAGATTGTGACCCAAATCACATACTCAGGATTGACTTACCTATTCCTTTAGGTTTCAAAGCTACCCATGCACAATGATCTCACATCTGACCTTTTGTAATTGTCAGTGTCCAATCTCTCTCTTATGACTGTACTTGGTTCTTTAAACTGTATTCTTAACATCTGTTTTATCTATTTGTATTAACTTCTAGGTTCCAGCCAAAGTAGAAAGGCCTCCAGCAGGAAGCCCCATGGTAGGTCCTCTTATTTTATGCCTCTTGTTTATTTGTTTGTGCCTGCATGTGTGTGTGTGTGTGTGTGTGTGTGTGTGTGTGTGTGTGTTTACAGAAGAGGCAATTTTAGGACATCTCAGACTCTCTCAGATCTCTGTTGCCAGACCTGGCTTAACTTTAATCAGTCTGAGCTGTATTTTGTCACGCTGAGCCCAACATACATCAGCCGTAGCTGTACCTTTGTGATTTTCAGCTATACTTGGTCAGCCTCGGCTGCACTGTAGCAAGTACTGCAGGTGTACTATGTAAGACTAAGCTTTTCTTTCTCAGCTTAAACTGACATTTTGGATATATGTATTGTTTGAAGGTACAGCTTTATGATTATGGTGTAGATTTGATAATTAATTAATTAAGTTAATTCCTATGTTGCTCAAATTATCCCAAACTAATCTCTTGCTGGTTCATAAGGAGTTCAGAAGAACAATGAGTTATTTGCTAACAAAGGACAGCTAAAGCTAATGAATGTTAAAGTAACTGCGACAACTTGCAGGTTAAACTTAAAATTTAGCCAAGTCTCACAAAGATCTTTAAACAGAGCAGTGCTTGAAACACTGAGTCTGGGATGTCCTAAACGGGTCACTATATGCTTTGATACTTCCATAATAATACACTATGTAGTGTATTGTGGATCACTAATGTATCCACTTGCTCTCTGTGTCCCATCTTCTTCCGAAAGACCCAAAACACGGAAGAAACAGTCCGGAAGTGTCCAGACATCACAGATCGTCTAAGGCTTCTGGAGCAGGAAGTAGCTCGCAACAAAGAGGAATCTGGGAAGTCACAATTGGAAGTTGAGAGGCTAATGGCAGCTCTAAGGGATGCTGAGATGGACAAATTGTGCAAGGAGAAGAAAATCGCTGATCTTGAGAGGTGAGGGTCAAAAATTCAGTGACATTCATATACATCACAAGAACACCATCTGGGTGTCCTCAGAGAGCAGTGTCCCTCCAAGTGACCGGATCTTTGTAAGATCTCAATTCATTCCTAAGTGCTCTATTTATAAAGGAGTAATCCACGAGACATAAACTGTCTAGATTTAGTCCTCCCCAGCACTTGAAACCACTTCCACGCTGTCATGCTTTTTGCCTGATGTAATCACACTCCAGAAATGCACAGTGTTACCTACCTTTTTGCACATGTGATGTTTCTAATCATGTGGCTTAATGTCCTATTATTTTTTTCCATGTATCAACGTCTGCAGACCTGGGTGAGTAGTTCTCAGTGTGCCTGTTAAACATATCATCATGATACCGCCGGCATTGTCCCTAGCCATGACTTTTGACATCATGCCATGACTGTTTGGTTGGTTTTAAACTTTCCCAGGTATAAAGTTGGAAATTGGGGCATTTTGGCTCACATCTGATTCCCAGCAAGCTTAGATTTGACTATCCCAGTGGAACAGTAAATGTACTATGCATTTATGGCAAACAATCTTGGTCTTCATTCCTTTCACAGCAATAACACAATGAGAGACTTTATATGTTTCCTGACTTATGTCACTGGAGACGTATAGCCTCTCAGTTGCCTTGACTTCTGCAAAGCTTCTTCCCATTGCATTGCTATCGTGTGTGTTTTTGCTCTTATCACACTGTTTTTACATTTGTCTGTAAACCCAACAGCTATTCAGCAATTGTGTGGGTGTGCTGTATGCGTGTGCTTGTGTGTTTTGGAGTTGCCAGGAAGGCAGCCAGCAGCATACCAGTGGGAGGTGGTGAACCCAGCCCAGACACTGGCTGTTTATACTTCTCTGTTTATTACTGGTGCAATGCAACTCAATTATCATCTGATTTATGGATTGGCATGGTGTGTATACATGCCCAAAAGAGTGGTTGTCTCGTGCCAACGCAGAGGTACTATGTGTGAGTGCTTGCGTGTGTATTTACTTCGTGTGTGTGTGTGTGTGTGTGTGTGTGTGTGTGTGTGTGTGTGTGTGAGTGTGTGTGTGCATGTGTGAATAAGAAGCGTAGAAAAGGGCAGGGTTGTGTCTGTACAAAGTGTGTATCTGAAGTGATTATAGTTAGTTGCGTGCCGGTTGGCGAGTCTGTGTATGTCGATTGATAGTGGGTGGTTCCTCTGTTGATGGATTGCCTACTGCATAGACGAAGCCATGAGTGTGAAAAAGGGTATGTGAAAGAACAATTTTGCAACACAAGTTGGCCCCATCAAGTGTGTTCCTGAATGTATCTGGATGGGCTGCATGTGCCGAATCCGACACAGTTTCCTGCCGCATTCATTACCCATTTTACAGACTCTGGCATGGAAGCCATGTGCTGACTCAAACTGCCTGGGAAGGCATGAGCATCAAGTATAACAGCGATACAGTAACTCCCGCAGAGTTTGTTCTCACAGTCTAATCTCAGTTTCAATGCGTTTGTGCATGCATCTCGCCTCTACCTCTACATGTGTTTGCTACTCACATGCAGCTGTCACCAGAGTGTGCTCATGCACGTGTGTGTAAATGTGTGCGTTCGGCTTTGGTGCGCAGCCCTTTGTGGGATAGGAGCATTTGAGATCAAGCTTTGGAAGAGTTTCTTCACCCTCAGCTCGTCCATCTTTTTCGGGGCTGCTGTCTCATTAGTGTCAGACAGTCACTCCTATCAGTCTGACCCCTCCCCTCTGGTCAGCACGAAGGGGTCAGAGGTCGCATGCTGCAGGTTATCAGAGGAGGATCCGCTGCAGTCATACACTGCCGCTGTAGAATATTGTAAAATAAAACGTACTGCACATACTTTGGCTGCTGTAGAGAACAGCTTATCATCAAGTTATTACATTAATGTCACGTTATCAATGGAAACTCTCATGTAACTAAAGAAATGAAACATAAATACAGACACAAGAATTTCTGCATTTGTGTGTGTCTGCACACACGTGTTATGTGACAGCATAAGGACGGACGAGTGTGTCTGTGTGTTGATTGGACCTCTGTATAAGGCGAGATGCGTCTGGGCAGAGGATGAATGTCTTTTTAATCAGTGTTTCTCTTGGAACTCAGTCAGATGGCATATTAACCGCTATCTGGATGGAGAGAGAGAAGAGCAGATGAGGAAAACGACACTTTCTCATCCTGTTGGCAATGCAGCAGAGAGTCAAAGATGAATGTAGCCAGCAGGTCATTGTAATAAATACCTTCCAGCACCGGGGAGACTCGTTCACAGCTATTTCTTAGCTTAGATCTCTCAGTGATCTGCTGTAAGTCATCAGTGATAACATTTGGGAGTTTATTGTTGGTGTTTTATTTACTGTCGTGTGTAAGTGTAAATCCTAGCTAATATACCTAAGTGATCAGAGACAGTGAACAGGCGTTGTGGAAAGCATCTCTATCAGCTTTATTAATGTTAATAGAACTCTGAAAGCCATGTTACTGATCTCTTGGAGTAGTTTGAGCACATATGGTGGACTAAAATGGAAAAATTAATATAGTTCATGGTATGACATACTGGGAGTGAATCATTCTAAACTTCTCCCGATGAATTCAATTAAGTAGAATTGTGAGTGCTTGCCCTGCATTATGTCTCTACAATTTTTGTAGTTGGTAAGATGGTATTGAATGTCTTAAAGTACAAGAGAATGAGTCCAGTGGACAGCCTTTTATAAACATGTTCAGTTTTATTTAACCTTAAACATCAGCAGCAAGTATACAGATGTTAATGCTTTTAATAGGTTGATGCTTTCTGCGAAAAAGTTGTTCTTAACAAGTGGAAATATTTTATATAGTTCTCAATGCTGTTACTGCCCAATACTTTTAATGTTCTTGCGGCGATGTGGGAGCTAAACTTTGGGAAATGAATCAACCTTCCAGTCTCACCATATCACAGCTATTGACGTGGTAATCACTCTGGTATGTAAGGGAGGGTTTCAGGAAAAGGGAGGCGTGTGTGTGTGTGTGTGTGTGTGTGTGTGTGTGTGTGTGTGTGTGTGTGTATGTGAACGTATGTGTGTGAGTGTGAAAGTGTGTCTTGGGTGACTCTGAGGAGAATATGTGTTGGTAGTGTATTTGGCGAGGATCTGTTGGCTGGTAGAAATCGACGGTTTGGACGGATATTTATACTCTCAAAAACAACCATTTGCACACATAAAGACATCATTTTGGGCCTTATTCCTATGACCATAATCAAACTCCAGATGTTGAGAGCATCAGTCTTTTGTAAACCACACACACTGTATGCATGCACGCAAACACACACATAACCTCAAACTGTCTGTTTACAATATTACTACATCAAACTGTTTGTCAACACTGTGCATTTACGGGCGTTTTTGCAAGTGTCCATACTATTTAAGTGTCTATTTTAGCTTTGAAGAAGACCTATCAACTTCCTGTTTTACTGTAGAAATATGGACAAGTAGCCCCTGCACCAGAGAGGAGTGTTTCATAACACAAATATCAAATACATAGACAATACCCAACAGTGAATCACACTACATCTTCTCACATTTAGACACGTAGAGACACAAACAAACGTCTTCCTCTTTAACCTTCGTTCACTCTGTCAGACACACAGACAATATACAAAGGCAACAGTGAAACAGCATTTGTGTTGCGATAAGAGTCGCCATATCTAAGCACCATCAAGCATCTATCAGTAATAAACAGACTTTTACTGTTTGAATCTCTCAGCACTGCATCTAGACCAGCGCCTCAGATAAAACTTCAGACTCCAGTGTTGATCCAACGGCCTCTTGCTATACTTTCCTAGACACTCATTTCTTTTCCTTCTCTCTTTTTCCTGTACCCCTCCTCTTTTTGGAAAGAGAAAATGTATTTAATTCAGACCATATCTGCCTTATTCTATATATTGTGCGACCCTGGGTAGTAACTGGACTGGTGTGTCCTTGTCTGCTTGAAATCGGAGGCTTTGTTCCACTCTGCTGTTTATTAAAAGAGAAGAGGAGAATTAAGAGTTATGAAGGGGAGATAGAAATCTGGACTTTTTTCTTAAAAGGTTATTACTACTTTTAACCTTTATTTACCCGGGAATAGTCAACTGAGAATACATACTCTTTTCCAGAAACACCCTACTTAATATTCGCAGTTTCCCACATTGAGATCTGGGAGCGTCTCTGTGTGACCGCAACTTCCTGCTGTGGGCCACTCAGCAGCTCTACAGAAGCCATTCAGTTACTCTTTGTGCCTGGCTCTAGGGCACGTTGGCAGTACTCATTGAGCGAGGTTAGAGGATCCTTCATTCATTCTATTTTTCTCAATGCCCTTCTAAATGGATGTAAGTTCTAAGAGGCAAAACATGAGAAACAAACAAGAGGAAACGAGTAAGGGAAAATGGGAAAACAGAGTGGATGAGAAAAAGAAAGAACGATAGAAATATTTATTGTGACATACAAGAGGAAAAAAATAACAGAGCTGTGCTTTGACAGCCAGAAATAAAGCGGAGCTGCTTATGTTGGAAGGTGGATGTGTGGAATGCTCAAGATGAAAAACGCAAGAGGAAATGTGAAAAATGACTTATTACGTACAGTTTAGGAAATGGCTAGACTCATTCACGGTGCTCTCTCTCTCTCTCTCTCTCTCTCTCTCTCTCTCTCTCTCTCTCTC